CCGGCCAGGGGTCGGCTGACCATTAGCCCGGCACCACCCCGCAGCCGGGGGGATTGTTTTGGAGCTGCGGATGTGATGGTTCTGGGTGGAGGGGGTCTGAGGAATGTGTGTTAACAATGGCGGAGCTCAGTATCTGGAGTGCCCAGAACTTACAGGGACCCGACGTTTCCTTCCTGGTCCCCCTCCCCCCCCCCCAACGCCAGGAACCGGCCTTATCGCCGGCCGCCCATTGTCTAGACAGTCCTCATAAACATCCTACATGGTGATTACACACAGCGCCGAGAATGTGGACACGACAGGCCCTCTTCTGGACGCCCCTCCACGCCGTCTGCACATCCATATCGCCCATGTACACCTGCGCCATGATTGGTGTATGCGTGGTAATGCGCATTATGTTGCGTGTTGACGTGTGTTGCTCCAAACCACCCTAATATGTTCATAATCACACACTGCGTAGGTGCGTCGCCTTGTGTGTCAGAATGAATCGCACCACAACGCGTGAATCTGACCTCAGGAGTGAATCTGACCCCAGGAGTGAATCTGACCCCAGGAGTGAATCTGACCTCAGGAGTGAATCTGACCTCAATGTATTATATGATCATAAAAAGTTCAGGAGTGAATCTGACCTCAATGTATTATATGATCATAAAAAGTTATTATGTTTCTTTTCATCTATTTAGGAAGTTTGCAGTGACCTTGTATTGGCTTTGATAAGATGATATGAAGGTGATATGAGGGTGATATGAGGGTGATATGAGGGTGATATGAGGGTGATATGAAGGTGATATGAGGGTGATATGAAGGTGATATGAGGGTGATATGAAGGTGATATGAGGGTGATATGAAGGTGATATGCGGATGATATGAGGGTGATATGAAGGTGATATGAGTGTCATATGATGGTCATATCAAGGTGATATGAGGGTGATATGAAGATGATATGACGGTGATATAAAGGTGATATGAGGGTGATATGAAGGTGATATGAGGGTGATATGAAGGTGATATGAGGGTGATATGAAGGTGATATGAGGGTGATATGAAGGTGATATGAAGATGATATGAGGGTGATATGAAGGTGATATGAGGGTGATATGAAGGTGATATGAGGGTGATATGAAGGTGATATGAGGGTGATATGAAGGTGATATGAAGGTGATATGAGGGTGATATGAAGGTGATATGAGGGTGATATGAAGGTGATATGAGGGTGATATGAAGGTGATATGAGGGTGATATGAGGGTGATATGAGGGTGATATGAAGGTGATATGAGGGTGATATGAAGGTGATATGAGGATGATATGAGGGTGATATGAGGGTGATATGAAGGTGATATGAGGGTGATATGAAGGTGATATGAGGGTGATATGAAGGTGATATGAGGATGATATGAGGGTGATATGAGGGTGATATGAAGGTGATATGAGGGTGATATGAAGGTGATATGAGGGTGATATGAAGGTGATATGAGGGTGATATGAAGGTGATATGAGGATGATATGAGGGTGATATGAAGGTGATATGAGGGTGATATGAAGGTGATATGAGGGTGATATGAAGGTGATATGAGGGTGATATGAAGGTGATATGAGGGTGATATGAAGGTGATATGAGGGTGATATGAAGGTGATATGAGGGTGATATGAAGGTGATATGAGGGTGATATGAAGGTGATATGAGGGTGATATGAAGGTGATATGAGGGTGATATGAAGGTGATATGAGGGTGATATGAAGGTGATATGAGGGTGATATGAAGGTGATATGAGGGTGATATGAAGGTGATATGAGGGTGATATGAAGGTGATATGAGGGTGATATGAAGGTGATATGAGGGTGATATGAAGGTGATATGAGGGTGATATGAAGGTGATATGAGGGTGATATGAAGGTGATATGAGGGTGATATGAAGGTGATATGAGGGTGATATGAAGGTGATATGAGGGTGATATGAAGGTGATATGAGGGTGATATGAGGATGATATTGATGATTATTTAATGTTCTTCGTATTTTCTCTTTTCGTTATTTGTGTTTTGCTACTTTACATTTGTTATTTGTATTGTTCTTTTTCTCACTCAGAGATACAATGTAACACGATGAGGCCGATGAGGAGCAGATACGAGATCAGGTCCAGGAGAGATAAAAGGGGTTTTGTATCCCTCAGGAGACATTTATGAACTCTCAGATCAGCGAGGAGCTCTGAAACGGACAATGTGCTCCGTATACCAGCCCAGCGATCCCTCCCGGTATACGGTATATACATGCAGCACAGTGCGGGTTTGGGGGCGGTCTCTCTCTCGTGCCTGTGAGGGGTTAATCCTCCGGCTGTCGCCCTCTATTAATACTCCGGATTCCGCACCGGTTTGGGTGTTACCAGGAAATGCCACAAAACTGTCTGAGCTCCGGCTGTGATAAGGGCCAGCACAGTGGAAGAGTCAGACAGCACAGCGCCCCCCGCAGGGAGCTCGGCTCATTACACCGTTATCACTTATTATTATTATTATGCACATCGCCCGCCTCATTCATTGTCATGCAGCTCAGAAATCAGCTCATCTACTTACAGGAATCTCTGCAATCTGATTGGCTGCTGCAGGTTTCGCACATTTTGCTGGTCACACCCCCCACAATGTATACAGGTGATGCCAATACTGAGCCGCTGGGTCAGTATTGAGTCCTCTGCCCGTGCAGGCGGGGGAGGAGCAGCGGGGATCCGAGGAGAAGCTGGAGCCTGCCGAGCTGCGGCAGTGATGGCGCCTGGCGCCTCTGTTGCCATTGGCGCCCTGTGCTCACTATGGCAACAGGGGTGAGGGGGCGCGGCCGGGCGTGCCCTGGCTGCTCCCCCTCTCAGATGTGCCCCACTCGCCCCATGGTAGCCCTGCCGTCACCCCCAACCCTCCTCGGCCACTCACAGGGTCACTGGAACCAGTATGCCGTTCCAGAGCTGTGACTTCACTGGCTACATGATTGTTCTCTGAAGGTGACATGGAAGGGACGTAGGCCAGGAGGTCAGCATTTTCAGGAGGTCGGCAATGGCAGGCGGCTTCTTTCCGTCCTTCAAATGTTTTTTTTCTTATTTGGGATGTTGTAGGAAAGCATTAGGACCCCGTCAGGCTTCTGTTTTGCCCCCTGTATTGCATCCCCTTCAGTTCCTGTCTTCCTGAAATCCCTCCGTAGACAGTTGTCACCGGAGCAGGTGTCCCCGCTGGAGGATTTCACCTCTATTCCTGTTCTGGTGACTACTGTGACATTTCACTTCCTGTCCCGGTGACACCAGAACAAAGATGCAGAGTGAACCTCCCAGCGGGGGCAATAAAACATCTGACAGGGGGTCTAATCCTTCGTCACTCCCCCCAAATCTACAACAAGGATTTGGCTTCAGCAG